TTTTTCCAGATACAAAAATCATATTTTTTCAAATCTGTCTGCAAATGGCAGAAAGTATGGTGCGATTTAGTTTAGGTTTACACTGCATTCAGGAATATTCCAGCTGTATGGCGGCGGTCTGTAAATAATCAAGTCATCAACAGCATGAGCATTGATCTACGTAATTGGGATATGATGACATGTGTCAACCAAGTCAGCGCGCCAGGGTTACTGAAGATCAATTTTAACCCGGATCTATACGGGTACTAAGTATGGAATCCTTGGTAAATATCTATATGTCTAATGTAAGGCCAATATCGGTCCAGATGAAATTAGAATCATGAAGTGATTTTGTTTAGGAAATATTAATTATTTATAACAGCACAGCCATAATATGATTCCAGTCATTCAACAGTTCCGACACATAATCAATACATATTTGTTATTGTACACTTCGCATGCTTCACAGACAAGTAGTCCTATTGTTGTGACAGGGTGTAAATAATGCAGTTTAAATATTTACACTAACATGTTAAAAATATAATATTTATGACATGGTAAAAGGACACTTGAATAATAGAGACAGTCTGGTTGAGGGTATTTGCACGTAATACAATGTTGCAGACTTGCCAAAGAAATGTAGCCTGAGTCAATTGTGGACACTGTGTTTCACAGACTGCATGAATGAGCAGAGAGCAAGAACAGTTTTGAGCCAGGTTTTAGCAATATTAAAGCAATATCACAACAGGGGACACTAGAAATGGGCTTCACACATAGACTGCACAAGAGGACAGGTAGATTGAGAGGATTTTAATATGTATATCTCACTAAAGCTTAATCAGTATACTGTGGCATAATGAACTTTTCCTTATCATGACATTTAACACATAGTCTGCATAAGAGGACAGGTAGATCGAGAGGATTTTAATATGTATATCTCACTAAAGCTTAATCAGTATACTGTGGCATAATGAACTTTTCCTTATCATGACATTTAACACATAGTCTGCATAAGAGGACAGGTAGATCGAGAGGATTTTAATATGTATATCTCACTAAAGCTTAATCAGTATACTGTGGCATAATGAACTTTTCCTTATCATGACATTTAACACATAGTCTGCATAAGAGGACAGGTAGATCGAGAGGATTTTAATATGTATATCTCACTAAAGCTTAATCAGTATACTGTGGCATAATGAACTTTTCCTTATCATGACATTTAACACACAGACTGAAGCATAAAAAAAGTATCATAGGTTTTGAAAAACAAACATGTATATATATCTGATAGCATAAAGACAAAATATATCAGAAAATATCATGAGTGAGTGAGTTTGGTTTTACGCCGCTTTTAGCAATATTCCAGCAATATCATGGCGGGGGACCCCAGAAATGGGCTTAACACATTGTACCCATGTGGGGAATCGAACCCGGGTAACTGGCGTGACAAGCGAACGCCTTAACCACTAGGCTACCCCTCCGCCCCAGAAAATATCATGAAAGATGGTAACATTGCTTATTATACCAAGAATATTACCTGCCACAAAGGAACACCTCGAAAACACTTTCTGTCGCCAAACAAACTGAACTTTAAGAGTGAGTGAGTGAGTTTAGTTTTACTCTGCTTCTAGCAATATTCCAGCAACATCACGGCGGGGGACACCAGAAAGGGCTTCACACACTGTACCCATTTGGGAAATCAAACTTGGGTAACTGAGGTGAAATTGGGTTTAACCACTTGGCTTTAACTTTAGAAATTAAGTGAGGTACAAGGGCAGGTTCTCAGCAGGCATATGGTGAGGTGAGGTGAAATTGGGTTTAACGTCGTGCATGCGTGTGTATGTGTATGCGTAGCGTGGTATGTGGCTGCTTGTACTAGCCCAGACTGAAGCTGGTTTTATAGTGCTAGCCCACTGAGATACCATGCCGCAGTGAAGCATGAATACCCCACTCAGACACATTATACTGACTCCGAGCCGACCAGTCCTTGTTGTACCCATTAATGCCGAGCGCCAGGCAGGCACCAACAAGTACCATATGTTAACGTCTTTTGGTATGACGCGGTAGGGGATCGAACCCGCGACCTTCAGCTCTTGGGTGGACGCTCTAACCACTACACCACGGAGGCGGTCGACAGACAGAGACCCATTAATTATTAATGGTCCCTAACACCAGAATGGCCTTCCTACACTGTACCAATGTGGGGAATCAAACCCAGACATTTGGCATGACAAGCAATGGCATTAACCATGGAGCCACCTCACTGAACCTCAATGACAGAAATATAACAAGTGTCAATGACAAGAAATATGGCAGAAATGTTTGTGAAAAGAAATATGATACATATAATAAATGTCATACATCATATTAGCTCATCATAAAGATTAAAACTATCATTTCACGAAATGTCAGTTGTTTATCAATTATGAACAATCAGCCACTGGTCCCTGATCACCTGTCAATGGCAGATATTGACATCATGATAACATTCATAATATACACAATCAATTCTCATTAAAATCAGAGGCTCAGATAAGCTGCGTATCCGGGTAAAATATGCATAGAAAATTCCCATTTACGCATTGACAAATAATTGTTGCGTACCAACTACGCATTTAAAATGTTAGATACGCAAAAAGTTTAAAACAAATGCGTACGGAATATATTTATAAAAATCGCTTGCGTAATGAAAATGACATCGATTGCTATCAGTATAGGGCAAGTGTTGTACTGTCAGTATAGGATGAGTGATTTCCATTATATTTAAGTTGGTTTTGATTAGGTATGACATAAGGCAGAACATACCTGCTTAGTAAACTTACTCAATGACATAATACTTAAGTGAGTAAAATGACTGAAATACGCACATATTTGAAAGCAGTGGGTAACGGAAATTGAAATACCCACTCAACATTTATAATACCCACTCCAAAAAAATACAGTGGGTACAGTACCCACATGAGCTAAATCTTATCTGGAGCTCTGAAAATCATATCATTTACTCATGTATATGATCCGAAGACACCTCAATATAATGCTTGGTCAGGTGTAATTTCTGACCAGCCCAATAGTTTCAAGATTTCTGAAACTTCTTTAGTGAAGCAATCATATTAGCATACCTGATCTCAGAAAACAAAGTCAATCATCCTGTTCACAATGTAAATGATTACGGCTGAATCATCATATTGTTGTGACTTTTTTATCCACTTTGTTATTTCCAAATGCCAAAGTATCTATGCACAAAGGGAGTTTCCTCGGAAATATTATTATGGATTTTGTTTGGGTTTTTCAGCAAAAGATGAAAAAAATAACTTGTGCATCATGGTGGAAAGGAAATGAAACATTAAAAAGTGTACATATAATTTGCTCAAAACACAAGCATCATGCACCTTGATAGGGTTCAAAATTTGCAAACTTATATCCATGTGCTCTCAAACATTCACACAGAAATGTATTGTTTTCAGAGTAATAGCTTTCATTTCAAAGACAGTTAGATCGCTCAAGAACCCATGCATTCTTTACTTAGATGGGGTCAAAATTTGCAAACTTATATCTTGGTGCCCAGCAACCTTAACACGGAAATGTATTGTTTCAGAAAAAATGCTTTCATTTCAATGAGACACACACTGTGATGCAAGTTTAGTCTTGGCATTTTTTACGTGCCATCATGTCACAGGCACTTTCTTATCTTTCTGCTTAAAGAAAAGAGACACAAATAACCAAGGAATGTTCTCAGCCATATATTTATGTTTTTTCTTAATATACATGGATATCCACAGGGGTGGAAATAACTTTGCAATTGCTTGTGTACTCCGGTACAGTGGCACATGTAAAATCACTTGCCCTGATAATTTTTCCACTATACTGGTCGATTTTCTTGTTGATTTTTTAAATCAACAACATAATTAACATTGGAAAAGCACCTGGACACAGGTACAGTGTGATATACAAATTTGCTTGCCCGACAGAAAAAAACACTGTACTGGGGCGTCGGGCAATGGGTTATTTCCACCCCTGATCCACTTGAGACTTGATCCTAATTACTTACTTGAGTTAATCATGTTGTCAACAGCGGACTGTGTTCCACGACAATGTGTATATAAACATGACATTTTGAAAGTGGGAATCCAGTCCCCTTGCAAAACTTGACATGTGTACAAAACTACAAAACTTCTACATTAATGATTTTTCAGTACTTTGTCCACTAGATGCATTACACTTTTACATATCATACTGCAAAAATATTATTCTCATAATGCATGCATTTCATATACTCTTAAAATGTAAACATCAAACTTTCCCTTACAAGGGACATTTCTAAATTTATTCTGTCTTACAATCACAAAAAAACAGTATTTTTCCTTTCTGCTATGTAAAAGCCTTAAATAAGGCAAGTCTAGATTTCTCTCAGGATCAGCTAAATTGGGCTCCTTTTCATTTCAATGGAGTTAGTTTGTTTTCATCAAAACTATATATATTCAGAGACTAGTCTGTACCAAATCCTGTCTGTAGACAATTATCGATTCACAGCTCCCTGCTCAAACTTTTCTTCTCAATACACAGTCCTAATTCTACTGCCTTTTGTATATTTATTTCTTGATTACAATTGTAAATAAACATGGGCAGGATAAACACCCATCATCATCATCATCAATTGATGGAATCATTTCCAGGCACTGGCACACACCTAGTGCAACATCCGATATTTATGCATTCAATAGACATTTGTAAAACAGTTCGATCTTCCAGCAATATTTGACACGTGTGAGACGTAAGTAAAGGCATGCTACCACCCACGTGCAGAATTCAAAGCAAATGCCAATTTTTCAATTCACACTTTATTTTTTTAAATTTCCCCAAACCATTTCTCTGATAAATGCATCCCTGTAAAAAAACACCTGTCAAAAAGTGCACGCGTATTACACCCCATAATGCACGTGTATATCACAAGCAACGAGGCACGTTGATTGCTAATTTTGCAATTTACAAGATTTCACGGAAATCCCCCAAAATCTCACCCGTCAATGAATCCATCCCCGTCTGCGTCGCATGTTTGAAATAAGCGTCGAAGTCGTTCCTCCTCGCTGGTGTTGCTGGAGTCGCTGTCGCTGCAACTGCCTACTTTGGGGGAATTTTTAGTATCCACATCTCCCTTCGAATTGGCAGCCATATTAAAATCCTTTTCATTGTTTTACAAAATCCAACTTCTATCTCCTGCACAAGGTCCCATTCTACGAAAGCATAAAGTTCCTATACTCGTTTTGTTGGGTAAATGCTACTGCGCGAACGACTGCTTATGTTGAAGGGGAAAGCCCTCTGCTAGACCGCCGATGACAGATCGACGGAGATGTTGTTTTGCTGTATGGTGGAACCGCCCGAGGGAGCGTTCTCGGGACTTTCGTGGGAAAAGGTCATGTCTGTTTAGAACGCATTCCGCTTGTACAGACAGAGCTGTATTTTGTACAAGGAAAAACAGTATTTCAAAGAATTATTTTCCTTTGTGTTAAACAACAGTTCCGCTGATAGATGGACTTGTAGAGGGAGCTACCTTTGTGACCTTTGATATGTTTTTACCTAAAGTTTTCTTGGCGCTTTTGATAAGAAAAATCGTTTGAAATATTTTTTTTAAATGCATGAAATAATAGCAGGCTTTCCTCAATTTCGATATATCAATACGTGCATTCAGTCCATACGTCTGGGTCGGTAAGGTAGCCTTGTGGTTAATGCGTTCGCTCGACCCGGGTTCGATTCCCAACATGGGTATAATGTGTGAAGCCCCGTTCTGGTGTCCCCCACCATGATATTGCTGGAATATTGCAAAAAGCGGCGTAAAACTATACTCACTCACTCACTATTATTAGGAAACCCCACCTTTGGGTGTTTTCTTGGTCTGTTTGTTTGTTTGACGCCACACTCGGTAATATTCCAGCCATATGACCGCCTGCTGTAAGTAACTGACTCTGTACCAGACAACCCAGTGGTCGACATCATGAGCACCGATTGTCGGAATGACGTCCATCAACCAGGTCAGCGGGCCTGACCACCCAGTCCCGTTACTCGAGGACAGTTTGTGGCGGGGGGTGTTGAGGAACAGTATTAACTCGGATCTTCACGGGTTTTAATGTGCATTCCAACTTTGAACGAAGATTCAAACTTCAGGATGGATTGACTGATGATTGACTGATGATTGACTAAGCAGTTAACCGTAAATAACGTACTAAACGTATTAACCAAAACCCTGCATATTGTTTTGGTTTGTGGTGTATAAATAACGTATGCAGATATTTTCTGATTTCTTTTTTGTTTTCAATGGTACTGACTGACTGAGTTTGGCTTTACGCCGCTTTTAGCAATATTCCAGCAACATCACGGCGGAGGACACCAGAAATGGGCTTCACACATTGTACCCATGTGGGGATTCGAACCCGGGTCTTCGGCGTGACGAGCCAACGCTTTAACCACTAGACTACCCCACCGCCCCATTTTCAATTGTAATTGACTAGCCTTTGCGTGTGTTTATGACAGGCGTCACCGGTTGGGCAGTACACCTGGCGAATTTATTTATTTATTTTGATTTTTAAAACATTTCAGCTATTTGACGGAGGTCTGTAAATGATGGAGTGTGAACCCGACAACCTAGTGATTGACATCACGAGCACCGATCCAACCAGATAGTTCATGATGACAGGCAATCAACCACGACAGTTTACGACCTTTTAAATCAAATCAAATCAAATCAAATATTTATTGTGCAAACGTTCCATACAGAAACAGTGACAATATTCTATAAACTACATAAACAAGATATATAATGAATCACATATATATGATGAGCAACAAAACATATAATAATACAGATGTGTATGATAATAATAATAATGGCCTAGGACAATCAGATCTTCTATATTTGTTTTAAAGTTGTACATGTGGTAGCAAATAATTTCTATACTATTTGGATCATTATTTCTAAAAAGGAGGTTAAATTTTTCAGTGGTAGTAAGTCTGAGAAAGTTATTAATTTTAGAGGAAAGGGAGTTAAATAAGGTCTTTCTTGCATCTGAATGTTTAGTGCAACACATGAAATGGTGTTGTTCATCCCTAAGGACAGAGCATTTATCACACAGACGGTCCTCCAAAGGTGTAGGTGGCCTTGTTCTCCTAACCAGTTCATATACTGACGTACAAAAGAAAAAACACACCCGTTGTTTGGGGATATATTCCTGAATTTAAAAACAATATATTTTGAAAAGTGTTTTTATTGTGATTAACATTGTACTCTTGTTGCGAAGTCACCACACGAGAAACGAAGTCAGTCGATTTGTTTTCCTCCGAGTGCAAGATCAGGTCCTCTGAAAGCGCCCGTTAAATCACCACCATCTTCATACTGATTTCAAAATTGATTTAATTAGATCAAATATGCATTCTGTAAAGTTATTATTGTTGATGTGTTTATTTATATATATCAGGATATAGTTTTATGTTTATAAATAGAATGTTTGCTTCGCAGATTCACGAATGCAGTATGCACGCACACAGGTTTTTACGTTATGTACACCCATAAAGGCAATTCCTAAAAAAAATCAAACGGTTATACTTCATAATATACTGGTCTCGCGTTCATACTGCATTCAAATCACGACCTTTAGAATTGAGTCCCTTGGTTTGTTGGCCTCATGGTGTTTTCTTCAAAGCAAATCAATATTATATTTTTAAAAAAGGTTTTCACCTTCTGTTTTATGTAACAGCGTCCCTTTTCGTCAAAACAACAATTACTGACAGGCTGTCCGTTAACGATATGTCAATGTGTTGATAATAAACGAATTAATATCGAATAAAATAAACGGTAGGGAAAAAAGATAAGATGTAATTTAATTTAAATCGTACTTTATCCAATCGGGAATAGGAATGAATGTACACAAAATAAATGAAAAATAATTCGGAAAAATATCCCGTCGTTTCACGACCGAACGTTTCTTCAAAAACAGTCGTGCGGCAAGTAGCTTTTACACTTTTGTTATGGTCCAGACTTGGGGAAGCGAGAGTGCCATGGGATCTAGCGTGTTTCGGTTAATTGAGAGCGACATGGAAATTGACGCTATATCTACACGCCTAGTCTCGTGTTTATTTACGGTCCAGCTCACGAGTGCTTCAGCAGTGAATACTACTTTATGTCCACTCTTTGCATGCGAGAAATTTTTTCGGCAGTGACTAGGTTTAAAAGTGCACAAACTGTTTGTAAGTTCAGGTTAACATGAGTTATGCCCCTTTGTATTTTTGGATGTTGGTGTTGGAGTGAAAATTTTGTATTTCGGTGTTAAAACAACACTCAAAGACGATTAAACAAGAGGTGTGGATGACATGTGCATTTTCTCTATGGCGGGGAAGTAATTACACGACACGACAGTTCGCTAGATATGTGTAACGATGTACGTGGTTGAAACACGGCGCGATCTGATACCCGTGAAGGTCCAGGTTAAGAATTGGTTTTAACTGTCTCCAGGAACCAATGCTTGTCGTAAGAGGCGACTAACGGGATCAGGTGGTTAGGCTCGCTGACTTGGTTGACACATGTCATCGTATCCATCGTCTCCGTAGATCGATGCTCATGGTGTTGATCACTGAATTGTCTGGTCCAGACTCGATAATTAAGCAAACACCGCCATATTGCTGGAATATTGCTGAGTGCAGCGTTAAACAACAAACCTAACAATCATTAAAATCATATCGCTTAAGCTCTTGATGATCCAATGACACCTTATAAATGCTAGAACAGGTGAAATTTCTGAGTTGAACAACATGGAAACAAACTTATTACAGTCATCAATAGTTGTCTTTACTGAAGAAATATTTATAGCAAGCATATTCTCTTTTGACGACCGGCGTGAAAAAAGACTCTGAATGAATGCATAAATAGAGTATGAACATGCCCTATTTAACACCGCCTTTGGGAACTTATTTCATGTTTAACAGGGGCACAAAACTCGAGTTAATTGCGACTCGTACAAAATGTTCCAGACAATTGACGGAGGCGGTCCTCTTTTGACGACCTGCGTGAAAAAGACTCTGAATGGATGCATAAATAGATTATGAGCATACCCTATTTAACACCGCCTTTGGGGGGACTCGGGGGTACAAAAATTCGGGGTAAACATTTAATTCCCAAGCAGCCTCTCATTTCCGGAAGAGTGAGTGAGTGAGTTTAGTCTTACGCCACACATAGCAATATCCCAAGCTATATGGCGGCGGTCTGTAAATAATCGAGCCTGGACCAGACAATCCAGTGATCAACAGCATGAGCATCGATCTACGCGATTGGGATACGATGACATGTGTCAACGAAGTCAGTGAGTCTGACTACTCGACCCCGTTGGTCGCCTCTTACGGTATGGGTTGATGAAGACTGAGTTTAGTTTTACGCAGCTTTTAGCAATATTCCAGCAATATCACGGCGGAGGGACACCAGAAATGGGCTTCACACATTGTGCCCATGTGGGGAATCGAACCCGGGTGTTCGGCGTGACGAGCCAACGCTTTAACCACTAGACTACCCCACCGCCCCTCTTGCCGGAAGAGGCAACAACATGGAGATCAGATCATGTCATCGTATCTTAGTTACGTGGGTCGATGTGCATGATGCCAATCACTGGGTTGTCTTGCCCACTCTCGGTTATGTACAGACCGCTGTCATATAGTTGGAATGTGGGGTGTGCACACACAAAGCCCCCCACCCTCACCCACCGCCCCCTCACCCCCAAAACAGCAACAAACAAAACAAAAAAAAAAACAAAAACATAACAAACACACACACTAAAAAACAACTGACATCCAACAAACAGAACACAAAAAACACCCCAAAAGCAAAAACACAAACAAAAAACAGCACAAATAACAAATGCCAACAACAGGCATTGATGTAGTGCATTTGTGTTGACTTGAGTCCTTTCTTACTTATATTCCTTAGTGAATATCCCAAAAGTTTATTCACTGTACAACAGTGTTTACTTTGTTTTCTAACCCTTGCCGCTGTGTATGTTAGTAACACATTGTAGCACAGTGATAGTATTGGTACTATATTAGCAACAATGTATAAACTAGACCAAGGGGATATGTAGAAAATACTACACTCGGTCTCATTACATACGAATTATACGAAACTCGTGTCCTTCCTTTGGTATCTGTAATGAGACCGAGTGTGGTATTTTATTTATTACCCACGTCTTACATGCATTAGATTGACAAAATAGCGTATTTTTGATATGTTTTTGGTT